GGACTGTGCTCAATGGGGATGAACGTTCCTGTGTTTGAAGAGAAGGTCGAGTTGATACGTTGCTCCAGTTTGGTTGATTAATATCTGGATGGATAGAACGGAATTTGCTTCGAAGCGACAAAGACGTGCCGCGTTCCCTTGGCCGTCGTTAATTATCTCGAACGGAACGAGCTCGCGAAATAATTCCGGTTCTCAAGCCTCATTGTCGAGGTTAACAGTCTTCCTGTTCTGCGACGGTGAGTCCGGTTCTCGCGAGTTCGGGTCGAACGGCAATCACAGCCGGATCAACCCTTGCGAAAACGCGTTCGCGTCGTGCTACACGACTCGCGCGAGATCGAGCGACAGGCGACGCGACGTGTCAAGTGCGCTTTTGACCCTGTAATCTCTATAGCTGGTTCTTCAAGTCCAGCGTTGATGGCTAGACCGAGACAATTCCCGAGAGCAAAAATCGCGTGCTTGACGATTGGCGACTCTAGCGTTAACGGAATAGTCGAGGTAATAAAAAGAAAGTAGAGAGAGAAAATTTTAACGAAGCTAGAGATAATGCGTTTCTGTAAGAAAGGAATTTGCGAACGAGTGCCGGAGGAAATTCTTAAACATATTTGTTCACTCTATTTATCTCATCCACGCCCAGTCGAGATCAAAAAAGGAAAATGAAACAGAAGTCACGCACTAAGATCGTGATCTAGAAAAGCACAGGCTATCTAGGCATGTCCAACATATCAAACTTATTCGTCCTCTTCCACGAATAGGGCAACGCGTTTCGAGGAAATTACATGATGAACAACGTTCTATCCTATATTTTGATATTACAGACATGGAAACCTGCCATTAAGATCACAATCCCGGAGAAACATTACAGAGATAGATTCGCATTGGAATCAAGATCCCCGAAAGCATCAGGCAACGTGTCTTACATACTGAACCTCCTAACCCCCTCCCTCCCCCTCCCCCCGAAACTTTCTTAAACTTCTTCCTGGAACACGATACGCTTCGGATAAAAAAGATCCTATAGAAATAAATAATTCCCGTATCTCTCTTTTCACCAACGTGCCAATTCTACCAAGATCACGCCCTATAATTGCAACGTCGCCTGTTCTGTTCTCCACAACTTCGCTCTTGTCGATCTCGGCTCTGTTTTGCTCATCAGTGGTCCAAAAGGGAAGCTGCGAGAGGCGCGAGGAGAGAACCGGCAGAAGCCCGGACCACGTCCACGCATCTTGCATTTAAATTCGCCGAGTAGAACGTCGAAAAACCTACATATGCATACCGCATACTCGCGTGGCGCGTGCTGCGCGCACAGGTGACGTGCGTGCGTGCTCGCCGAGGCAAAAAGCCCGCCGCGACGTGTCTCGATGATCGCGTCACGTTGAAAAAAACCGGCAAAAGGAAAAAGAAAAAAAGAAGAGAAAAGGAACCACAGCCGGTCCTGACAATAATAATCGAAACGAGTGACCCGGCCAGCCGGTATAGCGCCAGACACCCGCGGGACCTGTATTTCGAGTTCGAAGCAGGTCCTCCGGCACGCACGCTCCTTCCGATACGCCCGATTTCCGGTTTACCAAACGACCGGTTCCGGTTCCCAAACTGGTACCTACCGTAAGCTCGGCCTAACCTTTGTAGGACCGAACAACCCCCGCGGCTTTTTAATGATACCCATCACTTTAATGGAACATGTTTATACTGTATTTAGTGACTTTTGAATACTTGAATGAATTATACGATGTAATATACGACAAAAAATTCCACTGGGATTTGATGAAGTTTCGTACTCAAAAGAGAATAGAAATTTAATTTCTGTATCGTTCTTAAATTTTTTCTAAAGAACAGAGATTAGACATTTCGCAATGTTTCCACGAGCATACGGATTTCCCAGAACCTCTAATATCCCGTATTTCCCGTCGACCATGCAAACGCCGCGGTCGCGCGAATCCACCAGCCAGACAGTGACCCTTCGACGTTGACCTGGCGACCTCGAAGCCTCGCGCGGTGCGTCCGTCTTGTCGTGGATAACGCTGCACCGTAAACGCGTAATTGCCTGTTTTGCGCGTACACGCAACGCGAAGCGTACGGTAAACGCACAGGTTGCGTAGCAAAAACGGCGCGGCCGTGTAACGTTACGTGGAATAATTTGCTCGTGCCTCCGTGCGTACCGGGAAATTCATAGATTCGCGGGAAACCGGCTTGAAAACTGCCATAAACGACTCATAGAATCACGATCCATATTTCTCATTCACAAATCCGAAGCTTGAAACTCCGCCTTATCAGTTCAATTATGAACCATATCTGATTGAAACGATAAATAGAGATGGAAATCGAGGATTTAAACAAAACAGAAATATAGTACTTAATCGTCTCATGAATTCCTACCAGGAACTTACGGCAACGTGATTATTATAATAGTTATATTATAACGGGTCGTCTTAAGTACACAGTTTCAAGCATAAACATTTTACGATGAGCACGGTTTATAAATTATTAAAATAGGAGGAAGAAATTGAAATATCCTAACGCTGAATGTAATCAAAATTTACTTGAGAATCGTGTTAAGCTTTACGGTACATAAGTATGAGAATACTATAATAATATTTTTCTTTACGTTAAAGAACTTTTGTTCATCGTCTCTAAGAATGCAACAGGTTCTATTCTTCGGATTAGGAAATATTAAAAATCATCAGTCTGTTAAATAAAATATTCTCAAGGATTAACACGTCAGTGTTTATCCATAAAACCCGTCATCGAATCCCGTCCCAGGATACGTACTAAAAATGCATAGAAGCAACGGAGTCGTACATATAAATCCCTGAGCTGATTCGCGATCTCCATGAATCTGTTCGAACACCAGGGATTAGCATGGCATTAACCGCGAGGCACGGAACGAATGCGCGTCTCGACGCAACTCTACGGTGAATGTCGGGGATCCATTTCACGTAAGCCGAATTCATGAGGCGCGGCGCGGCGTCGCCTCCGGTTATGAGACGCAGCTTCCCGACGCGGAAAGGGCAACACAGAATGCGTGCTCCTGTTCTTCACGGGGTTCACCGGTCGTTTTCCCTGTGCGCTCCTGTCCGCGCCTCTTCAGGCACAAGTGTGCCGAGGGCGACGACGCGTCGCGTCTGCTTTTCTATTTTTCTATGCGCGCTCCTTCTCTCGCCTCCGGCGTCACCGTTTCCCCTCGCTGGAGGACTCGCGCAGAGAGAGAGAAGAGGAAGAAGCGAGAGAAGAGCGGAGGAAGGGTTAGACGAGTGAGATCAGGTATCAAGTGTAAAAAAAGAGCCATTGTACGGGAGCATCTGACCGTGGGGTAGGTACCACAGTGGCGATGCTCAAAAGGAGACAGAGAACGCGTGTTTCGTCGATGAGAACGAGAGACGGAGAGAAAATGGAAGCCGAAGATCTGGCCGCGTGGTGCTGCTGGTTGCCACGACACGCCGAGAGGCAAGGACGAGAGCAGGGAATGAAGAAAAGGGAAGGAAAAAAGAATACGCGAGAACGCGAGAGAAGGAGCGAGGCTCTCGTATGCACCGAGAGCGTTGGCAGTTTATAAGGGTCCCCCGTATTGTGGATACGTATTATCATGCTAAATATAACATGTTAACTACTTCGCATAATGCCGGGTCCGCGATCCTCTCGATTCTTCCCCGTACGACCGTTCGGCGAATCGCGTTTCCGCGCCCAGAAAATTTTATTGCCGTCGTCTTCCAAGCAGATGCGACGCGATCCGCTTCTCCGTCGCGTAGCTATACGCATTGAACGCGAGATACGCTCGTCGCGTTCCCAGCAACCCTTGACTCTCTCCTCGATACGAAAACGTTCGTCGAACCAGGGAGAATGAGCTACGTATTTGTTCGGTGGCCTTTCACGGTCCTAAATTATATTCGAGATTTATGATAACCGGAAACACGCGGAATTATTATTATAGGTTCAACAGTCCATCAATATTCGCAGAGATTAGAAAGAAGGAAGCTTTAATAGTTTTTATTTCTCAATTGTCCTTAGAATGATAAAACGATCGTATCGTTCAGTATAATCCATGCATAATTGATAGACAAATAGAAAGGAACGCGTCGACGCTTATCGTTTATATTTAGTAATGATTGGAGACCATTGATATTCACTCGGCGCTTGTCTTTATCTAATTCTTTCTTCTTTTTTTTTTTCTTTTTTCCTGAGAAAAGCCACTGCGTATTGCGAAACAGCCACGCCATAGCCGTTATTGATGAGACACATTACGCATTTATTCGCCGTGACGGACCTTGAAAATCCATGAATTAATTATACCTTGTACGCGATACGAGCGAGAACGTTTCTGCGGCATATGCCCGATGATATCGTCATCGAGGCGCGTGAGATGACAAATGTACCGCAAACATCGCGTTGTCGATTGCGCCTTTTCTTGCGCTACGTCGCGTTGTAAAACTACGGCACACCGTACAATAAATCGCCGCGCTCGTTAGCTAACGCCGTATTAACGTCGTTATAACTTCCCACGGGGCATGGATCCGAGCGATCGTTTTAAACGCAATCGATTTAAGCGAAAGAAAAAGAGAAACGAATAATCCGGCCTGTGATTACGGTATGAGTATATCTACACACCGAAATAGACAGCGGACGAATTGACTTCGATTAACCTTTCGTCGTTCACGTTGAATGAAACAGAAACTATAGTGTAATGTAGTGGCGAGCAAAATCATTCTTGTTCAGTATTCAGTTCAAGCATGCCTGTATTTCAATTCACAAGGTTCGTAGTTTTTCATTCTCCTAAATTCTACAGAGACATTCTACTGATGTTCTTTCTCAATAATAACCAACCAACGTCTCACGACCCATTTACCCTACGAATTCCCTCCGCGAGATGTAAAGAGACGTGGAAAAGGTTTCTGGACGATTCGACACGCGCACTTAGCGCACAGTCGATCGATTCCGAATCGAGCAAAGTCGGTGCGCGTATTACAAAAGGCGAGAGTTTAAAAAGGTCGATTCTCCACGGACTGTTGAAGGGGTGTGATGGGCCAGAAGCTGCTGGTGCAGGAGGCGCCTGGCTCCGGTTCCGGTTCGGCGAATCGTATGGAAGGCGGCGAAGGCGCCGGTGGAGGGGAGCTGCACCACTTCCTCCATCAGTACAACCAACAATCTCACAGTCCGGGACAGAGCCTACAGGGTGGCCTTCCGCTTCCGCTTAGCCCGCAGTCCCTCAGACACGACGGCGGCTCCTCAAGCGCCGGCATCGCCGGAGTTAAAAGAGAACCCGAGGACCTGAGCTCGTCGAGGGGTGGTCAACAGTCCAGCAAAAGACACAAGCAAGCGGAGAGTCCCACGCCACCGGGGATGTACCATCATCATCAACATCAACTACAGGTAAGATTCGCTAACATTCTCCGTATACAACTCTTAAGGAACATTTGGAACTTCTTCGACAGAGTATTACAGCGTATTAAAAAAAGGTGAAATAGTAGAAGCGATTATACAAATATAATCCTACATGATTATTGTGACGATAATACTCGATATAGTTGACGTTAGATGATAACGCTAAAAGGTTGTAATAGATGATCAGACGAAAAGTATCCGAGTATTTTCTTTCATTTGTATCTCGCGCGTCTCGTCCAATTAGAGGCACCAGTTTAAATATAAATCGCGCCAAAGTCTGACAGAGATTACCGGCTACGTGCCGGTAAATGAGGTAATGTCGAGTAACACTCTGAATTCCGGTCCAATCCTAGCGAACGTGCACGACACAAGCTGTCCTGATAAAACCTATATGACACTATCCTATCTGGACTCCGTCAAGCCAGGTTCCGATCCATTACTATTAAAATACTCGACGCGGCTCGGGACCAATAAAAATCTTGCACATTACCTAGATCTAGATACAAGCCGTAGGCAAATATTGCCTGACTCTGATATTTCCAATATAAACAAGTCTCATTACTCGACTCGATTATGACAAACGTACCTGACGCTATCTAATTCAATCAACCTCGAGACTAATTTTTCATGCAGTTCTATTTTTCCACATATAGATTTTCCAATTAACAAATAATTTATAACTTTACTGGTCTGGACGAGATAGCCCGACATGTTTAATAATTCTACCGTGCATTTCTGCTGATATCAATCGTTAATTACTATGCGAAATCGCAGGTACAACAATACGGCAGTCCCTACGACCCCTACAGCTCGTGCAGTCCTCGGCTTCAGTCAACGGCGTACACGTCGACCTCGGCCACGGGCGCGGCGAACGGCGGCAACCCGAGCGGACTTCACCAGGAGACGACGGCCGTCTACGTAACAGGCGACCAGCTACCACCGTTAGCGTCCTCCGGTTCGTCCTCGTTGTCGACCACGACCGCTTCGTACACGAGGTACGAGGTTGTGCCAAGCTCTTACGCGACGACACACGCGATACGCTCATCCTCTAGCAGCAGCAAAGTCCTGACCGTTGATCTTCCCAGCCCCGACTCCGGGATCGGCGCGGACGCGGTCACACCCAGGCAAGATCATCATCCGCCCACGGCGCTTCATCAGGTTAGTCAAAACCGAACCAGTGATCTCCGATAACGAACAGATAAGAGAACACGAAAGCGACGGTGGTGTGTCTTTTTTTTAATTGTATTCTGGAAGCAATTTTATGATACTATCTATTTGCGAACGATTTAGGAAGGATAATACGATGTAAGTATGTGATAAGATGTAGAAAGATAATATGCAAAATCAGATTTCATATACTTCCATAGGAAGTTTGTTATCGGCGTCGATTCCGCGATCCGTAAATATATTTTGATCATCGTGAACAAATTGATCGAACAACGGCGTGCTCGTTATCGCAGCCCCATCTCGCAGATCATTTTCTGCGCGCACGCTGGAACAGAACTTACACGACCTAGTAACGATTTACATAATCAGCTATGCATATCTATCAGGGATATCGACGCCATTTGTTTGCAGTCGATGAGTATCGCGTAATGGGTGGCACCTATTTCAACGCGTTCGGTGCTCGGAAGGAAAACAAATTGTCCTGTTTTACAGAAAATGCACATAACTTTTAAGAGATCCATGCATCTTCGAGACGCATCTCTTTTATAATTTAAACATGCGGAGTCACGTTCGTAAATTTTCATGCACCGCACGTGCAATAGGTCCTGCATATTCAATTTTTTCTATAAATGTATAAAATGTACGATTCATTGGTAGCATAAATAGAACTCTGTTTAGAAATTTTTCTCACGCAGAAGCAACTAGCGAACGACGAACGGTTCTCCGGTTTTGGTAAAAATCGAATTCCCGGAGGAAGGATTCGCGGAGGGAAATCGCGCGGAAACAATGAATCGAGCCGCGTCGAATCGGTCCGTATCGCGAAGCAAATTGCCGTTGCTCCGGGGGCCAGTTCCTCGCGGGTCTCTCGGCGCATAATTTTCGCGCCCGTCGAAGCCCACCGGTCTGGTCCGGTCCAGTCCCGGTCCGCTCGGTGCCATAAGCGATTCATCACTCCCACGTATTCTCGGTTGTCACGCGTAATCGGCCGCTTCCGGAAACATTAATCGTCGGACGGGGGCAACGGGCGGCTTATCCGCGAGAGTAAGTCATTAGCATTGCGGTTGACATTACGAATTAGAAAGCACACGCGTTCCGTTCTGCTCTGCTTGCACGCGGGCCCGGAAAATAAAAGCGCGGGCTATCGTCTCGTCTGATCTACCTATCACCGGACTCTCCTAATTAAAATATTCATACGCGTATTTCGAGATTACGCAAATTTTTCCAATGATTTTTCCCCATCGGTTATCTTGTCCCAATATTCTTTACATGTATACTTTCTTTATTCGTCTCGCGTAATTTTCGGATAAACTCGGCTGGCGAACGATGACTTCCGCGATGGAGCGGAGAACGCGTTGCGCATTAGACACAGCACGCCAAGAGGCTTGTAATTATGGATTAAATCCCCGACGGTTTTCGCTTGCACGATTGCGTTCCAACCTGCGTGTCTACATACATACACCGTGTAATATTCTCTACGGACTGCGGAGATATCGAGTCGACGCGATAGAATGAAAACTGAATTCCATCAATATATAACAGGACAATTAGTAACAATCGCAAGTAAACATTTTTTATCCGATCTGCATATTTTATCAGAATTTTTTTCTACGCGAGGAACTAAAGCAGTTCGAATTATTAATTGAATTACATATTTCAATATTTAATCACCGTATACATTATATAAAACTGTTTTTAAAAACAAATGAAAATTTCATTTAAGTCGTTATCGTCCGTTGTCGTTTTAATAAGAACAAAGTGAAGAGCAACGATGATCTTGCAATTTCACATTTCTCTACCCGCGCGATAAGCCTGGGATGATAATTACGATTTTGTTTCTCTCTGGGAGGAGGGCTAACTAACATTGCGTGCATTTTACAGTCTCGTGTTTCGGTCGCTTTATTGGTGCAATTTGGGTAATGTATGCAATCGCTAATGGAGCGGAACAAGCTGGCTCCGACAAAGACAAACGTATGCGTAGAATAAGATCAGCATCTTGTTCATTAAAACTCGAGTATAGTATAATGTTCGCCGCGTGTTTAAGTCACTTTAGGTACGCGTCTATTCTTCATGATCGAGAGACCTCGTTTTAATACATTCGACGATAAAAATAACGAATAACTATAATAACGAACCTGTTCCAATCATCGTGCCACGGCAACGCATGGCTAAAAACAGTCGCCAAATCGATTAAAAAGCAGACTGTAAAATGAGAAGGCTCAATCTCGTACAACAGCAGTATATAACCAAACCAATGGTTAAGAATATTTAGAATCGAGACATTTTCAACGTTTCGTAATTTTATGCTACATGCAATCGTAGTTTTCACTATACTTAAGCGATCTTATAATTTCCAACTAAATTGGGTCGTTCACTCGCGTTTTCCCCGTACCGATAAAAATCGAGTATAAAACGAGGAACAAAAAAGGGGCGGTAGATTCGTGATACGAAAACGTACAATCCTTCTTATGAAGAAGCTGAATGTCTGTCCGCGACGATAATCATGAGGCTACGATGTTTGTCGGCAGAGATCACGCGGAATCGAGCAAGAATATTGTCGGCGGCGTACGCAAAAACACGTGGGAACACGTGTACAACGCACGCGTATTGAGCGTCGTGCGAACAGGGAATACATTACCATACAGTATCGAACGCGAATGTATTAAATCGCTGCCGCGTGAGGGATATCGATAAAACAATTCCACCTGGCGCGACGCAATTAGACGAATCGAGCGTACGAGGTATCGAAAAAAAAAAGGATTGATTTTATTTGAAGTAATCGATCGGGCGCGAGCAACTTTGAACCTGTCGTTCGTTTTTTCATCGTGTCTCGCTCGCGATCTCGTTTATTGCTATATAAATTCAATTAGACCGTCGGAGCCGCTGCCCCACGTAATTAGTCGGATCAGGTCGAGGAACGAATGAAATGGACGGAAAAGCGGGGATATCATTACACCCAATTACGGGCCAGGGATAAACCAGTTATCGATTCAACGTTCGGGAGCAACGAGCCGAGGGTTGTTCCGCGGATGGAAAAAATTCGTCGGATGAGATCTTGCCGCTTCTTCGTTTCCGGTTCACGACTCGATGGATAGCTTCCGCGATCCCGGGTCGAGTAACGAGCCGCGGTAACCGCGTTATTTTTCTGGCTACCTACGAGAGTGCACATACTGCACGAGAGAATGAACGCTTATTAAGAAACAAACCACCGATGGTAGCGCGTGCGTCAGGCAATGCTCAATTTTACGAGACCGCAATGGCCTATTCTACTCGCGGACTTCAATCTATTTTCGCTCGAAGCAAAATCTATGGACTGAAACTGACGTATTCTGTACGATGGAAATGCACCGGGTGTAAACTGTTGGAATTATTTACGTGATTTAATAAACTTTGACAACATAAATGCGGTTAATAAAATTGATCAGAATGAAAGTGAATCCAACGTCGGAAACTAACGTAAACATGTAGTTATACACAGATTGGTAAAGTTCATCGAGAACTGCTTGTCGCTCGGATATTGCTAGTTATGCAAGCGGCGTGTGACCCTATCGGTAAAGGGTTAATAATGGAGGAAACGATTTCACGACAGATTTCTGAACCGTGCAATTTCTATTTACGTAGACGTTTCGCGATTAACGATTGGCTGAGTGAGAGTTGGCAGCCACGTACGACTCTTATTTAACCTACTACTGTTTGATTGGACTATGAAAGCGATTAACAGAGAATGTGCTTGTCGTTTGCACAGTCTTCGTTCGACTACACGGAATTGTGTCCCGGCGGAGCCGCGACCGGAACTGCTGTGGTCCTCGAGAGCGGAGCGGTCATCCACCATCAACCGTTGCAGTTGCAACTGCAGCAAAGCCACGCGCAAGCACAGGTGCAACGCGGGGCTTTGGTATCCTCGGCTGCGACCAACCCAAACCCAAATCCAAATCCACCGAGGTCGAGACCGTGGCACGACTTTGGCAGACAGAACGATGCGGACAAAATCCAGATACCAAAAATGTAAGTAACAACCATTTCTGAGTCTTCTCCAAAATAAATTTGCACCGAAGAACTATATGCAATTTTAATTGCGTTACAATTCAAAAATTTCTATCTCTCCTCACTCGAAAGAGACCCTCCCACTTCCTGTCGACAAAAGAGGGAGGGTTCTTGACGAGGACTTTGTCGTTTAACCTACACAGAAGTTATAATAAGGCGGGTAGGCGTCGTCGCCGGTGCGGCGAACAGGAGCAGAAAGGTTCGTAGGCCGTTCACCCGGGCCAGGCTCGGTTATCGGCTTGCATGCGCGCACCGCGGTATCCCGGTTTGTTCTCCATCGGTGAACAACGCGACGGAAAAACGCGGGGAATACGAAACCGACGCGCGTCGTCCAAGATAAAGATAATAGGTCGCCGACGGAAAGCTCGCCGTTTATTCTATAACGATAGGGGGAAAGCTCCCCTCGGATAAGCATAATCGACGTTTCGTTTCGCGGTATTCTATATTTAGAATATATGGTCAGTACCAGGTACTGGAAACTGGAGCCCAAAGTAATTGAAATAATGTTGAGTATCAAGGTTCCAAACAATGTCTTCACACTTCTATTCGGAACTTATAATTTAAGACTGAATCGTTGAGATTCTAATTAAGGATGTATTGGCTGTACAGTTAATCCCAAAAGTTTATGCACTTTAGAAACGCATTTTTTAAAAAGAAATCAGACGTCGGAAG